GACCTAAGGGAAAATAACAGGGAGTGTTAGGTATAACCTAATGAAGAAATTATTACATTTTGGTGACTGATATGAATGAATTTTTTGTGAAACTTTAACCAAGTTAGAAGAAAGAAATTATTATGGAACGATCCAAATTCGGGGGTGAGCTTGAGTACCATTAGGCCGCAGACCTAATTATCTCCAAACTAGATCAAAATGACACTTTCCAGAATAATTTGTCATATTTTAATGAAGACGTGTTTAAATGTTAGTCCCGATCCGAAGTAGGGTGTGGATATGAAGACCATTTAAAGAATAGGTTTACCGTATAACGTAAGCAGATAACAATAGCTGTATGATGAAATATTAAAATTAGTGAAATTACAATAAATGTGTACAGCGTTTTATATGTACTAACGCATCTTTATATTTAAACGTGTGACGCTAAAATCCAATACCCCATATTTCTTATATTAATTTTAATATTTCCACAATATTTCCATTTCAACACCAATATATGTCAACTATATTAGTAAATCGTTCCTGTTTTTGAACTAATTTAAAAGCGTTTCCGGTTAGTGTAGTTTTTTGTAGTTGGTGGTTGAAAAAGTAAGTGGGTTGTCACATTTTTTACAGTGTCAGTAGTTGAAAATAAAATGTTTCAATACTATAATGTTGTTGTTGTCTAATATGTGTAGTGAAAAGAAGGCTGACAGTAAATTTTGGTAAAATCATTTTGGATTACAAAATCTGAAAATGCCCAACTCTAAAAAAGTCCCAAAAAAACCCCAAACTAAAAGTGGAAATAGTGTCCTCTTTGAAATAAAGAGTGTTTGGGCAGGTTACTGTGTGTTTGAGAAGATGAGTGGAGCTAGATGAGTTGGGGTGGTAGTGGCTGAAGTAAATTAGGAACATATTTTTGGAGATTTATTTTATAAAAGGGGTTTGAGTGGGTGGAGATATGCTCTCTACTGAGTGCTCTTGTTATTATTGTTGTTGTTGTCATCATCATCATCATCAACATGCACAGCCCATACTCTCCATGGGAAAACAGCTAGAACGTCTCATCCAGGAGCTACTGTAACTTTTATTTCCCTCCAGCTGAAACTAACTTCCTGCTGAAACACAGAGAGCAGCAACTAGAATTCAACCAGAGACCAAGGGTCTGAAATGATCTCCATGGTTGATACCTCCCCCACCCCCACTCTAGGCAGCGTAGTTTTCTTTGCAGTCTAACAGAAGTAGATATGATGCATTAAGTTAGTCACTGACCGGCCTGACGGTCGTCGGCCGACGCAATTTAATGGTAACGGAACACCACAACACGTGTGAAACGGATCCAACAATCAGCAGGCGGTATGATATAGTCCTATGCTCACTGAGAGCAGAGTTGGATTTGTCTTCCAGCTTTAGGCAAATGCAGATGCTATAGTTACATTATGCTTGCTAGTGGGCATTGCATAATATATCCACCTGTGAAAGCGATGTTGTCCCAAAACTTGTTGGTATAACACAATTATGTTTTACTTCATTTTATTTCAATAACAAACATTCATTTGCAATCCCTTTTTTTTTTCAGGATTATCGCTTTTTATCCACCGCAAAAGGCGCGTTACAAAATACTTGGCCATTACATTACATACAGCGCACAATCAGCAGCTACCAACTGCTCCAACTTTACATGATCTCCATTGGCTTCCTGTTCAACAACGTATTGTATTGATTCTTCTCATGACCTACAGTATAAGGTTCTGCATGGTTTTGCACCTTGTTACTTGGCTGACCTCATTGAATATTACACTCCACATCATTCCCTTCGTTATTCTGATAACACCTTCTCCAGACACCTAAAATCGCCACTAAAACTTATGGTGGAAGATCATTTACATTTTTTGCATCTACACTTTGGAACAAACTTCCAGATCATATCAAAAACGCCGACTCAGTTGATCATTTAAAACGTTTTTAAAAACACACCTTTTTTTCGACCGTTTAATTTTTGCAGGATGTTTATTGTGGTTTTCAGGTGTGGTCTCACCTTTTCCTTACTCAAGCATCATTGTCTCGGCAGCGCACGGTAGGAGCCACAGGCTTACCCTGTGGTGGAAAGTGCCGGAGCCCAGCATGCTGCCTTTTAGGGATTACCTGCCTGTAAATTGCCAAATTGAGACAGGATGTTACTTTGACATCGGTGGGTGAGACCACTTGAATGTCACCATCTCCTGCATCACTGCTTTATGTTGTTGTTAAGCGCCTAGAGGTTAACATTGGGCGCTATATAAATATCGATTATTATTATTATTACCAACAGTTTAGCCAACTGGACTTTAATGTACCAATATTTTGTATTTTATGACATCCATTATTTATGCATCTGTTAATTAAGTCAGGATATTTTTTAAATTCCAATCTTCAATTGAAAGCTATAAATTGACTTAAATTATACAGATTCAATCAAATTTCAAATTTCCTTTTCTTTTTACTTTCATATTAACACAAACCGTACATTATACCCTCAAGGACACTAACATTTACATTGCTTTTAATACACATATTATATATGTATAACATTATCCTGTACTATTCAGGTAAACACAATTTCAATGAGTTGCAATAAATTGATTAGGAATAATAATGGTAAGAATAATAGCAAGAAACAACAATAATAATAATAATTATTTAAAAACTAAAAAAAAGGTGGGGGGGGGGGTGGTTACCATTTTTTTCCCCTCAAGTTTTTAAATATTCAAAAATCTGTATCTCATTAACATTACAAGTTATTCATTATTAACTTGTTGGAACATCTTGGGTGGATAAGGACAGGATATCTAGTTAGAGATCAGGCTTTAGATAGTTTACCACTATCAATGTGTTTTGTTATAATAGATACAATATATACCAAGACAAACTAATCCCAAATAAAAATATGGTTATATAGATACTATATATAAATTTAAAAAATTTTTTTTTTTAAATATCCCAAATGAAAACACCAAACATGAAATGATCTACTGTATTACCGATATGAATTTATCAAAACCAAAAATACTTGAAACAATTAGAATGATTTCATTTCTTTGAATAAATTCATTCAGAATGATAGTGCTTTACTGTTGGAGTTGGAAAAAAGAAGTAATTTAATTATTACAATGATTTCATGTTTTTGATTTTTCACAGTATCTATCCATCAGGCCTACTTGCTACCAAGTCCAATTGTTAATTAATATCTGTAATGGCATCAACCATGGCAATGGCATCGATTTCTACCTTTGCACCCTAGTGAAGGAAAAAATGAAGATATTAGCTTCTAAGATGTCTATCTTTCCACTCAAAAGTAAACAATTTCACAAAAGACTATAAATAACCATTGACAAATCTATGTTGACCTTTCATGCTTCATCGCATAATGTGAGTAAAGTTAAAAAACAAACTATTCTCAATTTGTTTCTTATGGTCAGAGCTAGTAGCCTGTAATACAATCTGACCATCCCCCATAAACTTGAATGGCCTGGTCTTTAGCTTAAGTAAACTTACCTTAGGTAGACTGCCAGCTTGGAAAGCTACCCTGGCAGGACGAAAATCACTGAAGTCTAAAATACAAAGATAAAAATTGATATTTTACAAAAAGAATATTCAATATGTGGTTAAGCCAAACCAGTCCCTCTTTGCAAAAAAAAATTGATTGTAGCTAAGTTATTAATACTGTGTTAAACAGTAAAATGAAAGTTATAAAATGGTAAAAGAATCATTTAAATCTGACATTTCATTATGAAGTTAAGGGATATCAAACATACTGTACAGCTGTTTAAATAACAGTATTTGAGAAATAAGAATTCAAATTTTACGAATATGGGACATTCCTCAGGCAGAGACCATCACCAATGCATGATTAAAAAAATATTGTTTTTTAAAGTAGAAAATAGGGAAAATAACAACATCTGTCTCTTATACACATCTAGATGTGTATAAGAGACAGAAATTATACAGATTCAATCAAATTTCAAATTTCCTTTTCTTTTTACTTTCATATTAACACAAACCGTACATTATACCCTCACCGGAAATGACACTCTTTAAACATTTTAAATTCTAAATTATCATTCTTAATATAATATAATATTTATAATAATAATAATTCAAAAGTGCAATAATAACAATAGCAATAATAATGGATTCACAACTTTTTATTTTAAATTTTTATCATTCTTAACATATTTTAATAATAATAATAATTAATAATAATAATTTTATATTTCTTACGTGGTAAAAATGTTTAACATTTGTTTTAAGGGCCCAATGGAAATAAGTTTTATATATTGCAAAACCTTCTTGAGTTACCCTAGGAATTAATGTCTTATGTTTTGTTCTTAATCATTTATCTGTTCTTTGTTTCTTTTTTGTATTCTTGTAATTTGTGATTTTAATTCCTGAATGAAATGAAATGAAATAAAATCACATCACACTTATAGTCAAAATGAAGCGCCAACAAATTTCTCATTTCTTTTATCAGCGATTTTTCAGCAACCATAGAGACCTAATTAATGTGTCTGATGTAGGGTCTACCATAGAAAATAAATTGAAAAACATTGTCTTTGAGGTAATTACTTTACTTTACCTACTTCCAGAGTCCAGACCCAACTCAGCCCCACCATGGTTGGGGCTGAGGTTTGAAAATTTGAGAAAATAGTACCTCTAGATGGCTGGAAATGACAAACATATAGTAAAATTCATCATCACATCACCATTATAGTCAAAATCAAGCGCCAATCAATTTCTCATGATCCTTTATCAGCAATTTTCGGAAATCAGAGAGATCTAAATAATCTGTGTGATGTACCATTGAAAATAAAACTTTGTCTTTGATTTAATTATTTTACTTTACCTACTTAAAGCCGTGAGTCCACACTCATCTCAGCCCCACCATGGTTGGGGTAATTTAAGTAAATAATACAGTTAGCTGGCCGGAAATCATACTCTTATAGGAAAATTCATGATCATCGCATCACCATTATACTGCAGTCAAATTAAAGTGCCAACAAATTTCTCATGATGTTTTATTAGGAATTTTCGGCAATCATAGAGATCTAAAAGTGAGGCACCATACAAAATAAAACATAATTGTCTTTGAAGTATTTACTTTACTTTACCTACTTCATGTGCCGAAAACCAATCTTATCTTTACACGCTTTTTTTCCCTCATACTTCTCAGAGTATAATAAAGGCACGGACACTTGAGTCGACGCGTGTATAGGTAATTCAAATATTTGTGGGCAGAGATACCGGTATCTGGCTATAAGAAGATGTACTCTGGCTGTATAGGGATTTAAAGGAAAGCATTGACATCTATCATAGGAAAATGTTACGAAAGATGCTGAACATCCAATTAAAATAAGGTTAGCAACGTAAGGCTATACAACATAACGGAACAAGAAGAATGGAGCACAAGAATTAAACACAGAATGGTACGGACACATAATTAGGGCTCTTTCGTTAAAACCTGGGTCATTTATGCAGGTCATTTCAACAATTTTCAGGCATCATTTCGACTTATGAAATCACATTGCCGCCAGAAAGGGGGGGATCATTCCCCGCCCCTTAAAAATATGTGGGGGTACATGTCCCCCGTCCCCCTATGATCTGTGCCCATGACATTAATCAAACTTTATCCAACTGAAAAAAATTAACAAAAATTATTCAATAATATTAACAGGAGGTTGAAATTATGATATTGATGTGCATTTAAGACTGCGAATGATACGTTTGTTTCCTATACCTTAAAAGCTTGAATAGAAGCCCAATGTGCTTAATCTCAAGAATCCCACCTCTAAAATAAGTCCTCTCTTTAGTTTACAAAAGTAATCTTGAAAAGAAGTCCATGGGCTTCTAATCAAGATAGGACATACATTCAGACTGACACTACCTTTGATGATTATGACACTGTGTCTGTATCAATATTATTTTATAAAAAGTCAAAAACTATTAAACAAAATTTCAAATTCCATAGTTGGAAAATGTTGTATAGTAGCAATTTCCAAATATTTACAGCATTCATTTTGAAAAGAAGTCCCCTCTTTAGTTTGCAAAGGTATTCTTGAATGAATAATAATCTTGAATGTATAATCAAAAAGACCTACTGCCTGTGCACATACTATAGTCTTTTGAATGGCAATCGAGGACTATCTTGACAATAAAAACCAAGAGTAAAGAGCAGGAAAATGTAAAACAACATTATCATGAAACCTACATTTAGAATAGATATCATTCATTTCTTTGAAATCATTTATATCAGCCAACATCACTGTACACTTAACAACTGAAAGAAAAAGAGAAAGTATTGAAGTCAAAAAGGTAATATCAAGAGTATTACAATTATTACAGTACTTGCAACGTTGCAATAAAATCATAGTATTTGCTTGGTTTACTAAAAAAGCCCACTGGGATTGGATATTGTTGTTCCTGGAACGCTGCCCTCAGCGGCGTGTGTGAAGCACAACTCAGAGTCAGAAGTGGAACGTGAATTTTGATATGGTTTCGTAGTCAGATTTTTGAGAAAAACTTCAGCTACCAGCGTATTTTTCGACTGCGACGTCAATGGGAGCTGTAATTTTTATGGCAAGGAGATGGTGCTACCCTTAATTCGTATTAAGGGAATTTACGCCCACAAACCTTGTAATTATTAATATTTTGGTTATAATAGAAAATTTTTATTTTTTGGTGACGTCACACTCACGTTATACTGCCGTTATTCGGAAAAACGCATTATATCCATTTTTGAGATTTTTGGCTTAGGGGCATCCTATGGATGTAATCTATCATGGTAATTGATCATATACCCCAAACAATGCTTAGAAATATGAAATTAATATGAGTGTTGCGCATTATATCCATCCACCAAAGCCAAAAAAATCTGGAAGAGTGCATTATATCCACTAGGCATTGAAAAGTAAGCAATCAACCAATCACAAAAGACAATGGTGCATATTAATTAGTTTCCTAGCTGGTGGAAGGGCATAATACCAAGTTTGATGATCAGAGTACAAACAATTAATATAAAAAAAACGAATGCATTGCAATATGACCATGGTCATATTACCAGTGGTCAGAATATAAATTTTAGTCTATAATATTATTAACTATTATTAACTAACCATTCAACAAGCAACATAAAACATGCATGTCAAACCTAAATAGGCTTTACTAAGACTTTCGAAGTCTATGCTAGGAATTTAGATGTATTATCTGTGCTAAATTGACATTTAAAATATTTAACAATATTTAAATGAGGGCACTTCTGTATAATTTAAGGAAATACAAGTTTATATGGCCTGAAGATGTGTGTTTAGAAATTCCAGGGTATTTATTTTTTGTTTATTGAAGTGAAAGGCGGGTATTCTTCATAGTGAATTTAAATAAACTAATTATTCATATTGTAAAAACTCTGTTCTTTCTGTAGTGATTACTGATAGTATTTAATTTACATTTTACAGTGTAGTATACCATATTTTATTTACTAAACCAGATCAGATACATTTTGTAAATCTTTTATGAGTGTGAGTGCAGTAATATTGGTAAATAATATTTTTTAAACCCTTAAAATCCTGATGAAATGTCACTTGTTATTTTTCATTATACCTGAAGTCTAAAGCATGCGGCTTTCTACTGGCAAAACTGGATATAATGCCTACCATCAGATTTTTCATGCTCCATTGACTGTTGTTTTAATTTGGAAAAGCGCATTACTGTATGTCCTTTTGACTGGGTTATCAAAAAGGTACTTTAGTATGTTTTTCTGTTGTGTAGTTAGTACATTTACACAAAAAAGTCAATAGAAAAAATTTCTATAACAAAAGGCTAACAAGAAACCCGTTTTGCTTAATATCTCAGAACTACGATTTTGGCTTATAATGCGTTCTTCCGAGTCACGGCAGTATAGTTAGCATGCATACGCCATAAGCTAGATTACGTCACCTTTTCCTGGTAAGGCAAACTTTCCCGGCATGCTTTATTCATGGATAAACAAACACCAATGCTTTCCACATGAATGCCTTGCCTAGCTAGGGCTACAAGAGACGCATAGTTAGCATATAATACTTAAACAAGGTACGTCTGCAACTGAATTATTCTTGGGCCTAAGCATAGTTATATTATGCTTCATCGTCCCCCGCTGTACCCAGTACATCAGTAGGCTAGCTCCCCCCACCACGTTACAGTACAGATGTTTGCTAGGCAACAGAACGTGATTGCAGCTTTCTTCCCAGGCGTTCATGTAAATTTGCATATTGTTAGCAAACCAGCAGAGTATATTCCTTTGCAGCGTACTCATTTTCACAAAGCATTTGCATCCCCTCTTCGAAAGAGGGAACTTCGAAATAACTGTCTCCATATCTTCACTAATTAATCACCGTAATTTAGTTTACACTTATGCATGGAGGGAGCACTTAAATTTAAATGAACAATAATCATTTCACTACCCGATAAACCCCGAACTTTATTCATGCATTACATAAATAGTTTCAACTTGCTGTACTCCAACATCGCTGGCGCATGGTAACAACCAACTGGCAGACCATTTCCGGTCACACATTACTCTACATAACGCAGCGTCCCCCTAGTTCCGTGTCCTCTGGATTGGATTGGAATGAATATACTGCATTCGGTGTAAACACTAAGGATAGCCCACGAAAGTCTAGAAGAAGACGTAATTCGAGGGGTCCTTCTGGTGGTGATTGGGCAGTACACCGGGAGACAATCCCCTACTCTTTTCTGAAGAGTGTACTGTGTTCTTTAATGTGCATATTAAAGAACGCAGTACACTCTTCGTTCTTTAATGTGCACATGGGCCATAAACGCACACGGGACCAAAGGCTTAAACGTCTCATCCGAAAGACGGTGCGCTTTTGTTACTACACTGAAACACAAGGAGAGGCAGCGATTGGAATTGAAATTAGATTGAACCTGGACTTAGAGATATCCACGGTTCAGCGCACAAATAGCACACCAGATTATAGCCGACTTAGCTAAGCTGCTCTCATAAATGTGTGAGACTGTGTTTATGGGATAAGCACATAATCCTGGCCCTGTTCTGATTGGTAAGTTGTTACTTTTTATCGACATTTGGGAAAGGGACATTCCCTCATCCCTGTACAGTTTATTATATAATTTTGCTGAACAACATACCATTTTTGTAGTCAATATTTGCAGCATGAAGTACAGCACCCATATTTTTCAAAGCCTGCAAAAAAAATCAAATAGTATAATCAACTTGTTTTTATTACACCCAATTTAATTTCTTTCAGTAGTATGTAGTTTAATCATTAAATAAAATATTAAATCATTGTGTGAACTTTTCAAATAAAAGTGATATTATGAGCTGAAACATGTGTTTTTTTCATTTTCCTCATGTCATTTGTTGAATGAACACACTTGACAATGCACAATACAATATTACTACTAGGGGGGCCTAGGCCAAAACATGGAGGTTCCCTGCTAAAACTAGCACTCAATTACCACAAAGTCAAAACGATAGGCTTAATAGGCTTATTTCTAGCTCATTATGACAATGATTCAATAATCTATTTAATGATTGAAATACAAACTACTGTAGCAAATTTAATTATGTTTAATAAGAACGGTTTAAGAATTAATATTAAAAATCTATGTGGTGTACCGCAAGCATTAATAATATTATAATTAAATACCTATTTACAAATGCCAAACCGCCCTGTCCTAAACTGTTTACAAAAGTTTATTAAACCAATTTGCTGATTCCCCATGTGCGTTGATTTTCCGTCGATTCGATCATGTGTTTTTCAATAATTGCCTTTTAAAGACTAGAAACTCCTTTGTTTTTACAAAAATTTGTTTGGTCTATAGACAATATAGACAAGAAAAAAAATAAATCAAAAAGTCAATAAATAAAAAAAATTTACAGTATACAACTTCATTTCGTTTGTTGATATGTTTATATATATATATATATATGTATTGTATAACACAGATGTGTATAAGAGACAGGTATATATATTATACAGTAAATATTTTTGGGTGAATAACATGTCATCAGGCAAAAGAAAAATAAATCTAAAATTCAAACATATCAACAAAACGAAATGAAGTTGTATACTGTAAATTCTCCCTTTTTATTCATGTCACCTTCTTAACCATCAAACGAAATCAACAAGTGTATTTAATTATAAAATCACATTGTACATAAAACATATCGGAGATGGTTAAATGCTTTAAATTTATATAATATATAGGCCTATGCCTAAGGAAGAAATATACAGTTGGAGGTTTCAAGGCAGCGGCGGGTGTAATAAAAATTAAAAAAAAAAAAAATTTGATTTTATTATGAAATTTGAAATCATTATTGGCGGGGCACTACATTATTCATGTCATCAAAGTTGTACAAAAAACAAAAGGTGCATGTGTAAAATATTTTCTAATTTTATTCACCAATTCTCAACATTGAAAATAAATAAAAAATTTAAACATATTTCAATAAGTAACGAAACAAAGTTGTATACTATATACAGCCGCACATTTTTACATCACATTTTTATTCATTACCGTATCATGCAAGAAAAATATATCTAACGTATCAACATCAAACATTTTCACATTGTACATAAAACATATCGGTGGATGTACAATAAAACTAACAATACATATTGTATTAATAAGACACATTCTATAATAATAATAATATACTTTATTTAAACACGGAGACACTTGAAGCACCCATGAGTGTTTTTCATCAAGGCCGTGCAAGGCCATACATAATTAGAAAAGAAAAAATTATTAAAAACAAAATGATTTAAAGAAAACAACAAAAACATAATATCTTAACTACAGTGAAACTATCCCCCGCCGGACACCAACCCGGTTTTCTAAGTTTCGGGAATAAAAATAATGATTTAATGTATCTATTTGATATGAATTTGCGGCTGTTGTGTATTCGGTGGCCCCTTTGGCGTTTCATACATTTGGTGCGGCGGCCGAAATGAGTGGCGGCCGAAATGATCGAACACCGGATGGATTACTAGGCCTAGGCCTAGGTACGCTTGGGCTAGGAGCTAGGAGGGCTTAATTAGGCCGGCAAAGACTCACAAGAATGACTAATACCGTAAATACCCACCTATATGCTCCAATAGCTGCAGGTGCATCTTTTGCTGCAGTTATTAGCCTCCTTACAACTCCAGACATTTTAATTTAAGTGGAATATGTCTAAGCCCAGGCCTAACGACAAAAATAAACTTCAGCGTGACCACCACGCCAACGCAAAAAATGACATTCTGATAGGGGGCAGCAACAAATTCTGCTAAATCATCCCACATTGTCTACAGTATATTACACTTCAAATGCTGATAAGCAGGGGAGAAGAAGGGTAGGTAACAGAAAAACAAAAACAAACAAACAAACAAACAAACAAATCAAAATAACATTTCAAAAAATTAATTTATTAAAAAAAATATATATATTTTAGGAGTTGATAAGCAAACCACACCTCGCCTAGGCCTACAGCTATCTATTCTAAAAAAGTGACAATGGGCATTTTTAGGCCCTAAAAGAGAACTAGCAAAATGATTTTTTGTTCTAGAGAGGATTTTTGATATGCCAAAAAAAAAAAAATCTTTTTTTTGGCTATTTTTTATGAAGTTATAGGCGATTATATACGATTTTACCATGACGTCACTGGCGAAAAAGCAAAGAGTATAAATAGAAAAGTAACAAAAGATCGTGTAAATAGCGCCGCGTAGGGTATCCATCGCGTAGGGTATCCACCGCGTACGATCTTTGCGTGCATGCTGTAACAATCACAATTTACAGCCATGGTTACAGCATACACGCAAAGATCGATTTTAAGGTTGATTCTATTATTAATGGCATATCAAAAATCCACTCTAGAACAAAAAATCATTTAAACTATTAACAACTTCTATATTCTCGATCTTCAGATGTAGTATGGTCGTAGATATGGCAGACTTTTTTGTACCTTGTCTAAAATGATGATTCGAATAAAACAAATTTACCGTATATTTTGCCAATTAGCACACTCACCGCCACGAAAAATGGAAATTTCATAAGAAAAAAATGTTGCTTTATTTTTATTTTTTGGGCCTACCATGTTGTTTAATACGACAAATAATAATTTTAAAGTGTTAAAAATGTTGTATATCGCAGGGAAATATGCAAAGGAGCGGAAATCAAGCTTTAATTAGCAAAAATCTAATGATGGTCACCGAATGAGTATTTTTTAAACCGAGAGAAAAAAATGGAAAACAGATAGGAAAATTCATAACTGTGATTGAGGGGACACAATCTTATAGATATTTGCACTATATTTTGGGTTTACTTTTCTTCTAATAAAAAAAAAAATACAAAAACAAACAAAAAAAGAACAAAGTCATTCTAATCTAAAACAACAAGATTGCATACTGTCGAAAAAAGTATATGATCATATGCTAAGGTCTGCTAAGAGAAGCTTATCTGACTTTAAAGGACGTTCCGCCCTATTTCTGGAGGGTTCCCCACGCCCGCCCGTTCATTTTGTTTATCTAGTGATGCTAAATCAATAGAAAAACGTTTTTCCCTGAAAAAGGTCACGGGGACCCTGATTTTCACTACAAATAAGAAAGAAAGGGGGAAAGAAAAAGAGAAAAGGAAAAGAAATGCAAATCGTAAGACAAAAAAGGAAAATAAGAAAAAAGACATAAGAAAGAAATGGAATGGAAAGGAATCATAAGAAAGAAAAGGAGAGACTAAAACAGAAAATGAAACATAGAAACAAAAGGAAACATAAGAAAGGAAAAAAAGAAGAAAAGGAAACATAAAAAAGAATAGGAAAAAGATAAGAAAACGTATGACAAAAAAGGAAAGTGTAAGAAAGAGAAAGAAAAGAAAAGTAAATATCGAAAGACATTGGTATAACTGTGGTTAAAAAATGAGAAGGTAAAGTAATAAAATGATGAGTTATTATTATTGTTATTGTTATTGTTATTATTATTATTATTATTATTAATATGCATATTATATTATTATAAGGCCTATTATTATTATTATTGTTATTATTATTAATAGGCATATTATATTATTATAAGGCCTATTATTATTATTATTATTAACAACACGATATTCAAACTTAAAACAATGATTAATTTAGTCTTTTTGCAAGTACTGTACACGACTTTTAAAATCAATCAAGAGATTTTTGCTTTTCTCCCCTTTTTAACTTTCACTTTTGTATAAGTAATATTGCGACTATAGTATTGTGAGTGGAAATAATATCAGTCTATTGTCAAATAAAGTGAAATCACCTCGACCTGACAAAATAAAGTAAAATTATCAGCCATACCATACTGACAAATCAAAAAAGCTCCAAATAATACGAAATGGTTCTTCTTGCAACATTATAGTATACGAGAATAGCCTAGCAAAAGTGTTTCACCCTGACATTAGCTGTTTTAGGTCATTTTTTGTCTTTCCACAGTCGAGTCTGGCAAATACTTGTCGGATTTTTGTATTCCCTACTGCATTTGGAAGGCAATTCTTTTCTGATTGCTTTAGTATTTGTTTCAATTGTATTTTTTGAAAAAGGTCACCGTCATTTTTCACTTTTTTATTGGTGCTATGTTGACCGCCCACCGCGCGTAGAGGCTGCATTTTGACCTCTTTTTAGTGACTTCGTTTAAATTGCCATTTCGGCTGTTCACCAATCAAATATCTTGTTGTTCATTCTCCCCCAGTAAACGGAAAGCTGAATATTCATAGATTCTTCTCATATAAAATATATAAATTGCAATTGAATGAAAAAAATCACCATCAAAACACTAATTTCAATATGAATGAACAATCCTGTCTAGGCATTATGCCCTCAAAAATGCGAAGCTTTGGTATAGGCTTCCGCCATTGTAAGAGGCCTGGAATCGACCATCAACTAAAAAAAAAAAAAAAAAAA